TCCAACCCCGTTCCGTGGCGGAGCCCGGCTGCTCCTGGTCCTGCTGGCGGGGACGGAGGATGGAGGGATGTCCCCAGTCCCCCCCCCGCCCCGAGCTGTCCCCTCACAGCCCAATGCTGCAGATCGCTTATCAGATGTTGTTGTTTAGACCTGGAAGGGGCAAATACCTCCCGGTTCCTTTGACAACGCTTGAGGCCGAGCCACCATTTTTATTACGTTAGCAAACACCTGATAGCCGCGGCCCGTCCCTAATGACATGTCACGGGAGGCTCCTGGCGTCTCCTTATCTCTGCGTTACGATGTTTGCTGCGTGCTCCAGCCCACAAGGTCACCCGCGACCCCTGGCCCCCCACCCCACCGGTGACCGGGGGGGACCCCGCGTGGGGGGACCCACCTCGAGGGATGGAGAAGGGGCCGCTGTGGTGGGATGGATGCAGCGGGGGGGGGGTGGCTGCTCTTGGCAGCGATGCTGGGCTGCGCGGCACAATCTCTGCAGCAGCCTGGGCACGAACAGGCCCTATTATTATTATTATTATTATTGTTATTGTTATTATTGGGAGGGGGTGGCACTATCTGGCTCGGAAAGTATTTTCCCACCGCCTCCCCCTCGGGAGTGCTGGGGAGGACTCGGTGCCAAGCGGGATTTGTGCGACACCACCAACATCCCTGGATAGTGCGGGTGGTGATGCCTCCACATGCTTTGCAATGCCCCCGGAGAGCCCCCCGCGGTGCTGCTTTCGCCTCCTGCCTGCCGGTCACTGTGCTGCTCTCTCCCTCCCCAGTGTCCCCTGCAAGCCTGGTGATGCTCCACACCTCGCTGCTTTTGCACATAGCAACGGGATCTTATTTTCCACAACATCCCGCCGGTGACCCGCGTGCCGAGCCCGGGGAATCGCCAGAGCGAAGCCCAGCGCCGCAGCGAGGAGCTCAGCAACCCGAAATGGAGCCGGAGGCTCGAGACTCCCCGTCGCCCTTCCGTGCCTCGCCGGGGACGAGCCCGGATCCGCGGGGTGCCCAGCCGGGACTGTGCCTCTCCTTTCTCTCCACGCAGTATTTCCAAGACGTGTCTTGGGGATTTTTTTTCCTTAAGTATTTGCCTTCCAAGAGGCTGTTGGCTCTCCCGAGGAACTAGGAACAAGCTGTACTGGGGACTGGCAGAAGGGGAAGATGGATAATATTTAAGTTATACTCCTCCACCTGACGGACTGAGAGGGACTTGGGTCTGTTACTTGGCGTTTGGAAGGAGGAATTGCATGTGCTGTTGAACTGAGCCAATTAAACTGTAAATATAGGTACAGTCTGCTCCATCCTCACCCTTCCCCACTCTTATACATAGAGATTTATATAAAAGAAATTTTGTCCAATGGATGTAAACTACTGTAATTAAGTGCAATTCCCCCATCTGTATATATTGTTCCTGAATCTCTGCTCTTTCTCTTTTTTTTTATTTTTTTTTTTTTTGGTAAAGGTCAGAGCTGAGGGTGAGTTTGGTTTTGTATTTCTCTTCTTCCTTTAAATGAGTTAATTCACGCGGAAAGACCTGGGCTTATGCAAGGGTGCCGGTGAGGCAGCACCGGTCTCTGCTCTATGGGAGGACAGGCAGATGCGTGTCCTTTGCGCGGTGACATCCCGCAAGGATGGAAGGGCATGGGGCGAGCCAAGCGGAGCCCCAGCAGGACCTGAACGGTTTGCCTGGGGACAACTGCCGCTACGGAGACCTCAAGGGACTCTTCTGCTTTTGGGGACTCTGAGATGGACCATGGTGGGGTGGGGAAGCGTCAGCAGCCCGGTTGACACATCCAGACCGCTGGGAAGCGCTTGGCATCAGCAGTTTTCAGGTGAGCCTGTAGCATTTGCTGCTACAGAGGTGAATGAGGCTGCAAGAAATTCTGGTGGGATCTTCCTCAAATGGGGTTCAGAGACCGTCTCCCTTTCCTCCCTTCCTTGGGGCGTAGAAGGGTCTGGGTGCCCAGTTACTGCCTCTTCTCCTGCTCAGTAAACGGCCAGTACAGGTGGCTTATTTTCTGCCGTTAGCAGGTTGATGCTGAGCCTTGTTGGCTCCACCCTTACCAATGAACACGGTGCTCTCATCCTCGTGGTGTCATCTCCAAGCCGCAGCTGGACGGAGGGGCGCTGGGCTGTGATGCGAACACGCCAGCCCATGGTCCCCGCCGGCTGCCTGCCCCGTCTCGCCTGGTGGTGGCTCCTGCAGGAAAAGCTTCGCAGCAAGATCTCCAGCTTGTGAGCGAGCCCACCTCTGCAGGGAGGGCACATCCCAGCTGGGCACCCGCTGAGGCTCTACTCCCTCCATCCCTCCTGAGCCCTGAAGGGCTTTAGGTGCCCAAGTCCTACCTCCCAAAGCTGCAGAAGCTGTAAAAGGCGTCGTCTCCCCTCCCGTGAGACACAAGCTCCTCCGTACCTGCTCCCCTTTGTAAATGGATCTCAGGCTCCCCAGTTGTGCAAATTTTTCTTGAACTTTGCCGCGTGTGCCACCTGCTCAGAATGATTTAGAGAGGTGGAGAGCAGTAGAGGTGCCCATGGATGGATGACCACTGCTAAAAAGAAAAACACTGGATGCTTTCTTTGGGGCAAGAAAGGCTCTGTCACTCTGTGTTCGTACAATATCTAGCGCAGTGGGACCCTGACCCTTGCTGGGGCTGAAAGGGGTTGCCCTACGGTGAATAAGTCATTGTGAATTGGAGAGCAATATTCAGAATGACATTTAATTTAATGTATACCATAATTAAATACCATTTCTTCTGACTCATTGCTGCCGTGTGGTCTGTAAATTCCCCAGTCCTCCTCTGCCGTGGTTTGGCAGACATTGGTCCATCAGGTGGCAGGGACACAGACTGGCAGCAGTGACGTGTCCCTGCTGTCCCTCACAATGTTGATCGAGGTTTCTACCTGCCTGAACGTGGCAAGTGACGTGTTTCATGTGAAGTCCCAGGTACCGGCCAAAAAAAGCAATAGGCTCTAGGAGGTTGGGAGACCCGTGTCCTCACCCTCCTAATGATGCACTAATGATGTTGCCCTTAGTCCAGCACAGTTTATTCCTCATCCGCCGCTAACTTTAGCAGCCGAGTGTTAAGCAAACCAATTAGGAGCCGAGTGCCAAAGCCAAACCCCATCTGTTTTGGATACTGAGCCTGTGGGTTCAGTAAAGCACGAGGGGGAGGTGGGAGGGTGCACGGTGGGTCGCTGTAAAGCTTTTGAAGGTCTTTGATTGTGAAGAGCTAACATAGCTGAGTGACTCAGAGCACAGCCATAGGAAAGGGCGGCCCTTCCGAAGATGCAGTGCAGCGCTTTGGTTTTAATCACCTTCAAAAATGCCTGGGTTTGGTTTAGCACTCTTTTTTTTTTTTTTTTCTTTCCATAAGTTAAGTGTGGGCTGCTATGGGAAAGGCTTTCAGAGCAGCAATCTGTTGTTCACCTCTATAGCCAGAGCAGGACACCCCGATAAAAACCTTCCTACAGAGTTTCTTTGTTTCTGTGAATTTTAGCTGCCCCTGACAAAAGCTGGAAGAGGACAGGAGGCACGAAGACTGCTCAGTCCCTTTCATGCACGCTCAGAAGTGCTGTGATCTTTCACCAAAGTTTGGAGAGAAAAGATGCAGGTTTTATCCTGAGATCCCTTTTGCACCTTCCTGCTCAGCAAGTCCCTTTCAACACACCTGAGCGCCAGGCTGAGCCCTTTTCAAATTCTGCTCCTAAATATCACATTCCTACCGGTCAGGGTGGAAATGACTTAGATTCTTCTACTTATGCCAGCTGTGTTTTTCTCCGGCTCCTGAAGCCGAATGGGCTAAGCTTTCCCCAGCTGATGCATATTGAGCAACAGGCTGAAGTGGTCCTGCAGAGGAATGGCTAATCCAGTGGGGAAAAAGAGGCACCAGATAACCTGCTGCATCTGAGCCCGTGCTCCAAGGGGAACGGTACCTTCTGGGGCTTGATTTCTGTACCAGCTTTAAGATAGACACAGAACAAGAGGTATGGGATTTGGGGGGTGACAACTATGTGTAAAGCACTGTTTGGCAAGTGGTCCAGTGTCAGCCCTGCTCTCCAGAAAGCCCCGTGGAGCAGGTAAGTGAGAACCTTGGGGAAAGGAGACAGATGCAACCCCACCAGCGAGGGACCTGGAGAGGGAAGGGGAGACCGAGCCAAAAGACAACTGGGAAAAAAGGGGCATAGGACACATCCAGAGACACAGATGGAGAAGGTGACTACTACGGAGCAAAGGGAGTGTGGCAGAGCAGGCAGGATGAAGTCAACAATATGAATAGCACAAATGATTAAGAACAAATAGTATTTACCCAAGAGGTGTGAATTTATGAAGTTGCTGAACGGCTCGTTGTGTGCTGTCACCCACCTCCGGGTAGCAGGAGACAGGAAGGTAGAAATCATGACTGGTTGCTAGAGGATGCTGTGGATGCTACACATACCAACGTGTTCATGGGGAGAAAGGTTCCCCTGATTTGGATTTAACCTCTGGCTGAGAAAACTTTTCTGCTTGGGGAAATACCATCCACAACTGGTTCCCTGAGCAGCCCCTGCAGTGTCTGGGCTGGGGCTCTCCCTGCCCAGACCTCACCTTGTGCCGGAGAAGCACTGGGTGGGGTGTTTGCTCTCGCAGATGCCCTGGCGGCCTCATTAAGTTGTTGGAAAATACGATGTAATGTTAAATGAGACTCCTGGAAGATATATTTTTTATCTCCCATTGCTGTTGGGCACGTTGTGTTTGTCCGTGATGCAGTTGTTATGGAGCAAAGAAACTAGTAGAAACATGACAAAGTTCATTTATGACCAATACAGTTTTACAGGGCTGGGTGATTATCTTACAGTTCAAAGCTGTTCACAAGGGAATTCCTTGCACATGAGGATCCGCAGGCTGCCACGAGGCTTTGTTGGTCACTCTTCATGTTCATAACAAACTGCAGCCTCCTTTGTGGCAGAGCGCAGGGACATCGCTGCATTTAACTTGAAGTGCGGGTGTGGGTGCAAAGGAAAAATCCTAAAAATGCCAGAGTTACCGAGGCCAGGGGGTAACACGCGGGGTCAGGTCTGTCGTGTGTCTCTGCGAGGCGGAGACTCCCTGTGATCCAGGGAGGTATCACACAAAGCTCACAGTGTTTTGGTGCTCTTTGCCTGACCAGAATGCACAGGCTGTGGTGCAGGGGAAGGGCATGGGGAAGCCCCGAGAGATGCAGAGGTGGGATGCGGGAGGGCCGGGCAGGAGCATCCCCTCTCCTTTACCTCCAGAGGAGAGCACAGCCCAGTGATGCCTGCCCGGATGGGTAAATCCCGTGCCCCGAATTCCTCCCATTTGCACTGCAGCACTGGTGATGTTGCCAATGAAGTCACTGGGTCAAAACCAGGTTAGTGCCGCCCTCGCTGCTTGCCCCAGAGCCACGATAAGGCTTTATCAGACCGCGAGCACGAGCCCTTGGCGTGGGGTTGCGGCCGTCCCCAGCAAGCAGGGCTCCTCAGTGCTTATCAGGTCCGTAATTGTGGGGAGGAACGGAGCCAGGAAAACCCCATCCAGGGCCAAACCCTGAGTGCTGGCTGCTTGCCGGAGTGCTGGGGCACCCTGGTGCTGGGCTCCCCGTCCCCATGTGCATGACAGCAGCCCGGTGGTGGTGCAGACCTCGCTGCCAGAGCAGTGCCAGGGGCTCAGCCACCATCCCCAGTGCTGGCCAGGCTCTAGTCCTGCTGCGGTCAGTCCAGCTCCATCGGCCAGCACCGAGCACACGGATTGCTAAGGAAGGCCCAAGTCACCCCCATGGAGGAGCAGGCATCCTGCCCG